ACCCTGCACTGTAAATGTAATTTTCAAGTGAAAAACAAACAAACCACTCAAAAATAAATCAATGACAAAAAAGCTTCCATTTTTTTGTTGTTTTAGTCTCTACTTTCTGGTCACATTGTTCATTTGAATACATCGGAAAATATAGTTTACTGTAGTCCCTGAACAGACTAGCAAGACCAGCTTGCTTTGATACCAAGAAAATATTACAGATTTTATGTTTTAATATATTAATTTATACCTTGGGGAAACATTTTGTTCTAAATTTRCTATCTGAGCTGATGTTCAATCACAAGATTAATAGAAAAGATACAACTCTTATTAAATTTTGAGGATTTCTCAGAAATCCTCAACAATCTGTTGTGGTATTTAACTACAGAGACTGCATTTTATTTTCAGTTTGAACATTGCCAATTCCAGTTTCCAGTTTTTGGAGCTCTTAATGCATGCTGGGCAACTGAAAAAAAATTTCTAAATATTTAATGCATTCTRTGCAAGTAATTACAGCTCTTGCCTGAATCCTCTCTTAACCTTGGGCTGAACCCACTGCCTGCCTTGGTGTCTCTCTGAGAACAGTGGGCTCAGACAATATGTCTTACAGCCCTTCTCCACAAGCAGCAAATCCTTTCTTGGAAGAGCTAAAATGRAAATAATGCCCTCATCCATAACAAATTCATAAGAATCTCCAAGTTGAGGTTCCCTTGACCTACTACAAATCCTTTATTTACTGAATCCACAGACTAGGCTACTCTGGCACTAAGAGAAACTTGCTTGGCTTAAGCAAATTTGAGTTCCTTCCACAGTTTTTGCTACAGAAGCTTTTTTTTTTTTTTTTTTTTTTTTTTTTTTTTTTTTTTTTTTTTTTTTTTTGCTGTATGATAAAGAGAGGAAGTAGGCTAATGCTTTTGTAAAAGTTTTGTCATTCATTTTGGTTCAGAACATATCAATGGAAACATTTATTAGTGCAGCAAGTTGTGCATCCTTTGAAACTCACTGCTGAGGAATCTCAGGGAGTAGAATAYGGAAGATGGAACTCTTTAAAAATAATATCATTTATAATTCTGCCAGASAATTATATTCTTTTATAATTCTGCYAAAGACTGAGCTGAARAKTTCAGAGATKTCASAAAACAACTTTTCTATTTTGCTGAGGTCTTTCTTAAGTGATGAATTTTGAAATATGGGAGAGACAAGAAGAAGGTTCACATCTGAGGATAAAATAGGGATGCAGGRCACTAAAAATGTCTGCCTGTCTGCAGGAACAGGAACACCTGGATGTGGACCAGTGAGAAGTGATGAGCAACTTTCAGAGCTGAGGAAATATTTCAGACTTCAGAAGGAACTGGGTTTATGAGAGTAAAGTGTAGGAGCAGGGTAAAGACAGGGATGGGAATCAGGGTGAGGGGTTGTGGTACATTATTGCCAGCATGTTGAGTGAGGAGGTTTTCACAAAAGCTTTCAGGGTTAGTAGTGACTCCTAAAATTAGAGCTAATTTCCCTTTTTAGCAATGTCACTCTAASTAAAATCATATCCTTCTCTTCCTTTTATATGACACATAAATATGTCTATCTGTACMCCTACCCATGTAATCTCCCTTTGAAACCTTAGTTTCACTTTGCAAGCAGTGCAAGTCCTATTTGCCTTCCCCCTCTCTTGCCACCCCTTTCTTTACCTGTTTGCCTTGTAGTTTCTCTAACACAAACTCTCCAACTCCAAACATTTTGTTTTGTGCCCAATGTGCATCACTCCYCTTCAGAAATCAGGCTCCTGCCCATTGCAGACCAGCAGGCCTCATGGAGTTAATAATCTTATTCTGTGCAGAGAAAATGCTGCTTTCCAAAGTCACTGAGTCCCATTCATCAGGAGAACACCTCCCACGGAATAGAATGGCACTAGTACTGGCTGCTGGTCGAGAAAACCACTTTTCCACTGAGAACCAATACTGGAGGTATAAGAAGCTTGTTCTTTCCTACTCTTGCTCGTCTCCTGCTGTGTAAGAACCAAGACCAGCAGCTGCCATGGTGTTCTGGAGGATGAATAGCAGGAGGTACCCCCTGTGCTGCCCATCTGTTTCCAGCCTGAGCAATATGTTATTCACTGGGTGGAGCTCTTTGGTGCTCCAGGCAGAGCCTGTTGTGGAGAAGGATGATGGCTCAGAGYTCCCTGGCTTTACAAGAGAGAGGAAATCAGTCAGTCTGGCTCCGAGGATSAAGCCTATAATGGAATCATGTTATTATCATAAGTAGTGCCAGAGGCCATGGGCAGCGTTCTCTTCATCTTCCTGCRTAGCAGAACCATGGATTTGTATGTCCTGTCACAAATTTGATCCTGCCTGGTTGGCTGCCGTGGCCATGGGAGCCCTGGAGCCTAGCAATGCTGATTCTGACCAGCAGGACCACAACCTGTCTCCTGCAAGCAGTTCTGCTAGGAATGCTAGGACCAGTCAGAGTCAGTGTGGGATGAAAACAAKCACAATTTAAAATACAGTTGTCATTTCAACACGATTTCTTTTATTAATGACATTGAGAGAGATGTTTAATCTCAGGAAACCATTAGCAGTCTGACAGGAAAGAATTGTTAATAAAGTATTACACAAGTTTTGGACAAGTTTTTATCTTGAAAGAAGCTTAAACTGTAAGTGGATCTGAAAGGAATCCTAGGGCAGAGGCCAACAAGGGCTGTCAATGTCTCTTTTGAGTTTCAAGTTTTTCTCCCCAAATGTGTACATTAATTATACACTGGCTTCTCTCATTCAATTTCAATACATTTTATATCCTATGGTATGGGGAAATATAGGGAAAGCTCTCTATAAAACATCTAGATGAAGGAAATTTTAAAAAATGCCATTGAAGTCTAAAATTGTAGTGTGAGGAGATTTGAAATGGCAATRTAATCTCTTCTATTGCAGGTGATTGAATCAGCATATAAAGAGATTTACTGTGTGTTTGATGGATTCTTCTTAAATACAGAAGTCTCCCCTAAGGTCAAYCACACASRARACAGAGCCCAGACAAAATTAACAATGTTAGACCCCATTTTAAGCAACTTAYATGTTTTATAAATCAATATTGTTACTGGTAAGCATAAATTTKATTGAATAATATTGTGGCATAATGTGGAGAACACTCTTGAAAAAAGAACTTCATACAATTTCTAACACCAAAAAACTCTTCTGTGTTCCTTTCTCTTAATGCCTTCTAAATGACACACCTTCACTCTTGGATGGTGAGGATAGGGCTGCAATGACACTGGGATCCTGAATCCAATGTTTTCTCATTGGAAAAATGCAAGTTCTGCTGTTGACAGAACAGCTCTCTGAGGGAATATATGGTGTTTTTCTCCTCCTACCTTCTTCAAAAGCCTGAGGATTTCTAATGCCTGAAGCCATGACTTGAACAAGGCCAAGATGAGATAAAAATAGTTTTATTTCTTATTAAGCTTCTACCTACTAGCAGTTCCAAAACAGGAAGTACAGAAAAT